ACTTCCATGCAAAGTTTCAACTTGAAGTGACCCCTGGTTTAGGCTGTACAGCGTTGCCAATTTTCCAGTTTCATGTGCTAAAATCAAGGATATTGGACTATTAGTCCGGTGCATAAGTAGACTAGTACACCCAAGTTGGTCAACGGGGCAGGGCTCAAACGAAAGCTTATGCAAAACTTCCAGGAAAAGTTTCAACTTGAAGTGAAACCTCGTTTAGGCTGTACAGCGTTGCCAATTTTCCATTTTTATGTGCCAAAATGAAGGAATTCGGGACTAATAGTCCAATGCATCATAATTAAACAAACTAGTTCATCGGTCTACGAGCTGAATACTACCCTGAGATCGAATAGAAGCGCAACTAAAGGCCATCGTGAACTTTTCGAAAAAGTGTTGCCAATTTATTATTAATTTTTGTAACATAAAATTAGGGAAACAAAAACGAAAAGAAACATTAAAGAAGAGAAACAGTTTGATTTATTAAAGGAGTTTTGTTTTCTTTTAAAGATCTTTCTTGAGGATCACTTTGCTTTGTAAAATGAATTTACATGATATTGGTTATAAAATTAATTAATTTCAATGAAGAAACGATTATTTAGTTTATAGAAAAATGACCAAAAATTGGTGCAGGATCAATAGGTCCGTTTGAAAACTTCTCGATGGTAAAAATATTAGTTCGATCAATGGAGTGTGTGCGACCTATTCCGGGAAGTTTTTTGATAAATTAAGGTGAATTAGTTAGCCGGTCGCTATCGTGGCCCTTTTTCCTTTCAAAAAAAATAAACCTCAGTTTTTTCAGACTCTCTCGCCTCCCTGAACAAAGAAAACCACTGGAATCGCGTTTTGCTTCTCAAATATATCTTCAAATTGGAGCTGAAAAACTCATCATTTTATCGTAAAAATGCCTTAAAATGGTAATATAAACTTAAAAATTCGTCTTCTCTTTTAAAAATCAATCCGATAGTATTGTATGGTAATAGTTTGCCTACCTTGTATGGTAAAGGAACCTGAAAGCACGATTATTCGCACGAAAAGCTCAAAAATATCGGCGTCTCGTCGTAAAATAAATGTACACAATTTGGCAACGTTACTCTGAACTTTCCATTTTTGCCTTGAACAGAAATCATGTACTATGCCCTGGTGATATTCAGTCATCAGAATGACATGAATGCCTTGGAAATTACGTTATAGAAGCATTCACGTGAGAAAATCTTTAATTTTTGTAAGAAATTAAAATGTACTTGGCAACATTGCGTTTGGAATTCAATTTTCTCCGTCTGTAGCGTTCATTTACTATCGACTCGTAATGTTTAGCCCATACTCATCAAAGTTATAGCCCATGAAGGTACGTTTTCCGCCAAAAATCTCGGAAAACCCCTAATTTTATGTTAAAAATATTAATAATAAATTGGCAACACTGCTTCGAAAAGTTCACGATGGACTTTAGTTGCGCTTCTATTCGATCTCAGGGTAGTATTCAGCTCGTACACCGATGAACTAGTTTGTTTAATTATGATGCATTGGACTATTAGTCCCGAATTCCTTCATTTTGGCACATAAAAATGGAAAAATGGCAACGCTGTACAGCCTAAACGAGGTTTCACTTCAAGTTGAAACTTTTCCCGGAAGTTTGCCTCACCATAAGCTTTTGTTTGAGCCTTGTCTCGTTGACCAACTCGGGTATAATAGTCTGTTGAACCATGATGATTCAGTATTTCGTGAGTTTAGCGCATAAAAATGGAAAAATGGCAACGCTGTACAGCCTAAACGAGGTTTCACTTCAAGTTGAAACTTTTCCCGGAAGTTTGCCTCACCATAAGCTTTCGTTTGAGCCTTGTCTCGTTGACCAACTCGGGTATAATAGTCTGTTGAACCATGATGATTCAGTATTTCGTGAGTTTAGCGCATAAAAATGGAAAAATGGCAACGCTGTACAGCCTAAACCAGGGGTCACTTCAAGTTGAAACTTTGCATGGAAGTTTGCCTTACCATAGGCTTTCATTTGAGCACTGTCCGGTTTACCAACCCGGGTACAAAAAAAGGGGCGAAACTTGGCAAGGCTCTTTCTGGGGAAAAGAAGTTTTTTAAATTGGTACGGCTACTTCGAAAAGCTACGGGGCTAAGGAATTTCTGAACCCTTTCATCGTGCAATGACTATTGGTAATCACCCAGTAAGATATACTTCCTTTACGAAAAGAGAATAGCGGGGGATCCGTCTTATTATGAAACGTTTTTACTCATGTTTTACTCACATCGGATATATTCCATCTTCGTCTAATTTAAACGCGGCCTGGGCTGGGATGATTCTGGGACCCACGAGGGCGGCTGTCCAGTCATGGACGACGATGCCAAGATGTCTCTGCCGAGCCGAGGACTCGCATGGCAACCGATTTGACGAATAGGGAATCTCCATTGACTTTGGCATCACTGATGTCGTATTCAATGAGTTCTAGCACGTCTTCCGAAAGTTCTCGATCGTTCAACTGAAAAAGTAAGACACAATAATTGAGGATGCAGAATGGATATTGGGGATCGATTAGTTAGTAGTCTCGAAGAGTTCTCTGATGTAGTTTGTGTCTATCACTCTAGGCATTAGGGGTCTACGGGGTGGTTGCGGGAATGAGGGCAGTGTTGTACTCGCAGGTGCTAAAATTACTTGATGGCTACTATCATTCTTCTATGGCGGCTTCTTTGCTCGTCTCCTCATCGGTTGGGAATTCTCATCGTCACTTGTATCGAATCTGGCAGGCAGAGTGATCGTACGCTTCCGACGTCTTCCGTTTCTACTTCTGAAGCCTGCGATTCTCCAGAGTGTTCCGCGAAGTATAGCATCTTGGTGAATGCTTCCTTGGAGGTTGCTGCAACAAAAACTGTATCATGAAAATGTTTGCATGAAATTGTAAGATTGTATCATAAAATGACCAAATGATTTTGGTGCCCCCTTGTAGTTACAAAAATTGTAACAACGACTGAAAAATTAATCAAAGTGCAGTGCATGTCACTGCTCCTAAAAAGGGTTAAAATCAAAATAGGATGTGGAAACGCTGGAATGAATCAATTTGGATTTTTTCTTTCAAGACCCCAAAATTTTCCAAGCAAAAAAAAAAAAAAAAAAAAAAAAAAAAAAAAAAAAACAGACAGAAAAGTGCAAGGGTTGAATTGGTGATAAAATATTTGAAAAATGGTACTTTGAAATGTTATACAAAGAAATTCATATTCGAAATGTGAACACAGACACTTGTATTTTAACGAAAAAATAAAAACATGACAGAAATATAGACAATAATAGAAAATGGCAAGAATCTTCTGTAGGTACAAATTAACATTAGAAAGGTTACAGGTGTAACCAAAAAATGCGTATTCTCGCGTACCTACCCTAACTCAATTGAAATTTACATAAGAACTTCGAGTGCCGAAACCAATGATTTGTACGTCTTGAATTCGGCCCGGGGCTTCGTCGCATGAAATCGAGGCTGGAGTAGTGTGCGTACACGTGAAAAGCCAGACGTTGGGCTGTAGCGGGTGCCTTGTCTTCGAGTTAGCCTTCAGTGTCCACGTTAGGCAATCCGACGATACGGAGGCTGAGTTTGAAAACTTTTGGGGTTCGCATACGGGAACTTGTGTGGATGAGTATGTGACCAAATCGGAGCAAGTATAATCTGCTGGAGCGTTGGCGGTGCATTTTTCATTGTTCCTGAGTTAAGCTTGCGTTTATCCACTTTCAGGGGGGTGGTTTTGCGTTTATTGGGGGTATCATCGTCCCTTCCCTCCGCTGGGGAGTGATTTCTCCATTCTCGTTCTGTCAAAACTGGAGATGATGATCTAAACATGCTGGGAAACTAAGATAAGATAAGGTATATATTTATTCAAGGTGTTAAACATAATAGAAAATACAACATGTTTCTGCCCGGCAAATTGAGAACCCAATTATTCCGCCGGATCAGGCAAAAAATAAATATAAATGGAAATAATATAAAGTAAAAAAATGAACCAATAAAATAAATACGGCGGCATAAATTAAATCTAGAGTAGGACACAGTTATGATAAACCTAAGTTAAGTATGAAAAATGGAAATAAATAAATAGTTGGTCCGTTACTTAATATACGACGATCAACCACGCTATTTACGTCAGGGACAAGGGACCTTAAATTTTTAAATTTAATAGGTTTAAGAGTTTTAAAATTTCAGTGACCACTATTGGATCATCTGAGCTTAAAGGATGGGTGTTACGAGGGAGGGAATTTTAAACTTTGATGCGTGTAGCATAGGTTTTTGCGCAAGAAAGCAAAATATGGTCGATTGTAAGGGGGGAACGTTAAGAATGCATATCGATATTATTTGAAAAATAATTGAAAAAAAACTTTAAAAAAAAAAACAAAAAAGAAAAAAAATCTCGTGGATGTTGTGATGATGTTTATATGAATCTCTTCACGTTATGAATTCTTTGATTCTATTTATGATTCTGAGCATCCCTTGATATTTTCAGTAATTTTTTCCCATTGCATGACCAATCGATTTGTTAAATGGCTATATAGCTTCAACTAAATTCAGCATTGTCTACCGCATCCAGTATTCTAGTATTGCGATACTTAATCTATAAGTGTAATTTATGTTCATGATTTCTGTCAGTTTTCATCCATAAGTAAGGCAAATAGCAATAGGTATGTAATTTACTTTACCAACGTGTTTCACCCTTATTTCTACTATAGCTCATCACAGCCAGGTGATCATCCTGAAAATAATTGCCCTCGAAGACCTGTGACCTCTGATTTACCATTTTAAGGTCTTAAAAATGGCATTTGACAGTATTTAAACGGCAGTGTGCGTTTGGGCCGAAATATCTCGGGGAAATACATCCATCTCCGTTTAATATCCACCTTTGTTTTCCCTTAATTTTCCCTTTCACTAAAACTCAATCCAGGAGTTTCAGGGGGCGCAGTGATGTATTAAATGGTTTCCTTTATTAATCGATGCGACATTTTCTTCATTTTGTTCCCCCAGGCTGGGCGTGTCAGTGGAGATGGACGTCTTTACGAAACCAGTATCGAGATGCCGTAAGAAGACGAAGGTTCTTGGAAGTGGCCAGAATGCCGTCCGCGCCTAAATGGAAATACGAGGATGCTATGTCGTTCCTGGAGCCGCATCTTACGGAAAATCGACCGCAGCCAACCCCAACGCCGGTTCCTGAAAGCGACGATGCGAAAGTCCAGGTGTGTTATCAATCCATCCGTGTGTTTCTTCCAATGCTGCCGTGCTAAGGAAGAACGCCGCAAGGGCCTTCAGGTGTTGCCAAGATTCCTTCGAGAAGTCACGCATTTTCGGGAAAATATATGAATAATTTTCTTCCGATTTTTCAGAATACCTCCCTCGTAATTTGATCTAAAGAGTCTGAAAATATCAATGAAAACTATTTAAAAGTTTCTTTACAAATAACCATTTTATCGAAGGAAATTTGGCAACACTTGAATGTTTCTACGACGTTTTTCCTTAGCACGGCAGGGTGAGTCACTTATGCTCGTCACAAGGACGTCTTCTGATGGCTGGAACAGCATCACAGCTTTCTACATAATAGGCGGGCGAGACTTGTTTGTTCCTTCTTGCCCTTCAGATGTCGGTGCTCTCTACTTATAGTTGCTCTAAGCTGATTTACAAATTGTTTTACTAAATGCCGCACCTCAAATTGCATAATGACTGAAATAAAGGAGCCAGTATTTTGCCGAGTGCGTTTTAGTACTTCTTCAGGGCGGCTTCTTCAGTAGACTCAAATCGCTCTCTTCTTGAACGTTTATTTTACAGAAATCTGGCAAAGTTTTTTTCCAAGTTTAATCCTCGCGACCGACTTACAGTCAGTTGAGATTTCCCAGCTTGATTAAGTTATGATCGCAGTATTTTCCTTGCAGCGAACTTTACGAATTGAGGAACGGCAGGTGTTACATTTTTGCTTTTTGGGAGATTTCATTTTATTCATTGGCGCAATTAATTCCGTGAGGATTTTTATCTCAAGTTTTACCGTCACACCAATACGTGTGAAAAATGTCTAGTGATGAATCCATATTCAACCTTACCTACATTGTCTGAATCTTGCAATGTCAGAGAATTTTCAACTGAAGACTTTTTTGACACGTATAAAAAGAAGGATGTATTATACCTTCCCTCGTTCTTCCCATGCAGCCCTGGTAGAGTCACTACCGATCTGAGGTCATTCCATGGTTCGGATTTGTCCCAATATAAATTCAAGTGGAACCTGTATAAATAGTTCCAAAAGCGTTGCATCACAGAATAAAGTCAAAAATTATCGAAAAGATGAGTCCGTCTTGAACCTTGCTTATTTTTTCGTATGATTTAAGCCACATTGGCAATGCAAGCAATGACAATTCTTTTAACTAAATACCGTTAGTGTGAAAGGGTGATAACTGCACAGTGCACACCCTGAGAAATTCTAAATGATGAATTTTTGTTTAACCTTACCTACATTGAGCTGATTTTCAGCTTTGATAGGAGACAATTTCTGAGATTATCCGTCATATTAGTATCTGCACTAATGACAGCCTTTTTTGGTGGATGTTTTGAATTTTGAGACGAAACATACGCCCGCGCCTTCACGTGAAGTTGCCCCGGGTGTACCAGAGTGTCCATATGCTTCGATGCATCGCGATTCATATTCTTAATGCGATCTCAAGGAGAGTAAAATTGTAAACTCGACCTGGCCGCTTCCAGTTCGGTAGTATATCATCGCAGCTCGTTTGAAATGTGTCGTGTGATGAATGAACTTTTTACCTTACCTACATTGCCTGAATACACAATGTTAGAGGATATTCTTCTGAAGACACTTTTCAAGGGAGAGGATAGCGACAAACGTATGATAGTTGGACGAAAAAATTTCTCAAGTTTGATCCCTTTTTTTTTTGCTGCACAGTAGTATCCAAGCTCGATTCTAAAGACTTTCGTTTTTGTGTTCCAGGTTCCTCAATGGCGCAGAGTCTCCGAGCTTGTAGCTCTATTCAAAGGCGGCACCGTTGTAGACGGAAAGCCATCAAGAAAGTCAGCTCCCGCCTTCCCCGGTACACCAGATAGCGCCATATCAGCCAAGGCCTACCTGCCGGCCAAACTCCCAGACCTCGTGCCCGCAACCCCCGTAGCACCCGAACCAGAATCACCGCCAAGCAGCGAACCTGATTCCGAAGACCTGATCCCCACGGTGCCCAAACTCACCCCCGAGTCCGAGGACTCCGAGGATTCGGGCTTCGAACCGGAACTGGCCGTCGAGGTGAATCCGGAATCCGAGAGCTCCGAGGTTTCCACGTCGGCGTCTTCGAGCGAGAAGGTGCCCGAGCGAGTGCAGATGCCCACCAGGTTCCTGCATCCCCATCTGATGCGCAATTTCCGGCATCGCATCCCGACGACGGCTGTCCAGCGTGACGTCATCAAGAAACCCGCGCCGCCGCCGGTCCCGGTGATTCCGCGCGTGTGTCAGGTCCAGAATGCTCCAGTGACGTCACGAGGTTTGACCTGCGCCATGCCCAACCCCCGACCCGCCAACGTTGGCACTGTCGCCGGTGCCCTCAAGTGGGTGCTTTCGAGGAAGAAGACCGCCAAGGCTCTCCAGCGGTGATGTGTTTTGCCTTCTGCCTGTTCATTTCAGAAAGGCCGCAATTCCAATCTCCGACTCTACCAAAATAATATTGTTCCCATTTAATCACTGTCGTCTCCTGACGCAGAGAAGATGTAGAAGTTGTATTCTAGTAAATTCAGGGACTTACATGATTTGCAAAGAATTTTGTTGCGGCAAGTCTGTCGCATACTAGGCTGGTGGATGTCTACTTCGAATGGTATGTTATTATCTGAATGAGGACCCTGCGTATTAAAGTACAAATCTTCATATTTTTAATTTATGTAGAATGTGTTTCCCGTTGAGTATGCTCTGAATCTTGTAAATCCGACGAGGACTTACAATTGATCCTGAATTTCCGGTTGGAATACTGTAAATTGGTAGGTGATCGGCTTTCAGAGGGTAGGATGGACAGCTTTGGGGTACCAGATGACTCCTTCATTATTTGTCCCGGGTGTCAGAGCACCTTTTGTAAATGGTTTTACGCTTCTGTGATACTGAGTAGGGTCGTTCTCTTAATTTTGTAGCATGTCCCCACGAGCTTTCTTCGATTCTCAAGCTTTCGTTGTCGGTATCTCCAAAGTTCATGTATACCTCTTTGTTTTCAGAATTTTAAGGCGAGCATTTAACTGCTTTTGCTCTGAGTCAATTTCCCTAACTTTTACGTAACATGTACCCGTGTCTAGTGTTAATAATACTGTTATTAGGTTGTATACTTTGTACAGTGTAAATAAATGTATCCTAATGGATTGTTATATTGAATCTTGAAATCGATGGCGTTTCGACTTTTGTATTTCCATATGTATTCTTGTAATATACTGTTTGTTTTTATGAAAAAGATTTTGATGGTTATCTTCTTTAATTTTTTTAAATATTTGTCTTAAGGTTCATCTTGAGTCCTAAGTATATGAGAAGTGAGACTTCTTACTTGAACGTGAACCGATTATTTTCAAAAACACGTAAGCGCCAAATTTTCGAATGCGAAAAAAACAAGAAAACCCGTCTTGTTTGCTTTCTTGACAATCTCCGAATTTCGAAAGATGTATGTTCTTTTAGAAGGCTTTTTTGAAAGCAGCCATGATTGATTATATATGAGAAAAAACAGCCCCTCTACCAGCAAAATATAGATTGGCGCTTATAATTTGGAAAATTATCGGCTCAAATCAATTTTGCATCTGTACCTGAAACTTCAATAAGCAATGCTTGTAGGTCCCTGTCTACAAGACAATTAGTAAGATTCTGATTCTTTTCTTCTTTAAATTTCATGTTATCACATTGATTATATCTCTAATATTGCACTAAAGGATAGCCTAGTTTTTGAGCATAGGAATCAAACTTTGTGCTTTGCTCATCATACGACTAATATGAGAAATTTTCTCTGTAAGTTTTGGGCATCTACCGGGTGTCCGTAAAGTAACTGAAAAGTGGGTATAATTTTTGAACAAAAAAAGATAGAAGGTCGCGGTTTGTTGCATTCTTCATCAGGTTTTTCTTGGTGGACCCCCTTGGGGGGCCCCAAGGGGGGGGGGCAACTTTCAAAATTCAAATAGCAACCCCCATTTTTTTAGACATGGTTAAAAAGAACTTAAAAAGACAAGAAAAATGACGCAAATAAAATTAAAATCGGTTCACTCGTTCAAAAGTTACAGCCGGTCAAAATTTTAAATTGACCACTTTTCAAAAAATCACCGTTGAGCTCCCAATTACCGAAAAAATAAAAACAGACCTGGAATGAAAAGTTTGAAAAGTGCCCTTTAAGGCAAGGAAAACCAACTGACGTTGTCACAAGTTTGGATCGCATTGTTTCAAAATAAAATTTCGGAAAATTCAACATGGCGGCAAATTTGAGGAAACGCGAATAATGAAAATTCCAGAAACTGTTATCTTTCAAATACCCTCTAGTTTAAGGAAATCAATGGTATCAACTTTTTTTCCTTTATTTGGCCAAGTAAGAGCAATAATTTGCTGACTT